TGAATTGTTTCGAGTTTCTCGTATTCTCCATTAAACTCTTTTCGAGGGTTTTGTCGTCATTGAAGATGTTGGTCGATGCTGACACGTATGTATTCACTACGGTGCTGAACAGGTCTTGGGAAGACCGAAGAGTGGTGCGAGACGGTAGCCAGGTTTGGCTCACGACACGGGCAGCGCTGGCCTGAAAGAGGTAGCCGCGGGGCATTCGCCTTGACGCAAGCTCTTGATGATGGTGCGAGTAAGACACATCGCCAAAACGTTCAGCGGCGATTGTTGAAGGTGCTGCTTGGTCAAGTTCTCGGCCTTGAAATACCTGGTACAAGCGGACGACCAAACGCCCTCAGCTTTGACGTACCGGCCAAACCTCACGAGCGCTATTTAGGAAGTCCACCATCTTCACTATAATTGCATGTCAACTCATTTCAACAACAGGCGGACGCCTCGCGACGCAGTTGTTTCGCTGAAGCTTGCGCAGCTGCTTGAATCTCGTCCGCGGCGCTGAGTAGCTGTGTCCAGTAAGACTGCCCATGCGAGTGCGACCTGTAGTAGCTTGGCACCCAGCCCCACGGCTTGCCCACGCGACCTCGGGTTCAACGCGCTAAACCCGACGCATAATAAAACGCGCGAGCAGGCTAAAGGCAATCGGACGCGTTTGTAACGCGCCATATGTCCCGCAATGCTGGCAATCGGACGGCCACGAGCGTTCCACCTACGACCCCAACTTTAAACGCCTTTTGCAAGCGCCGTTTGCCATCTCACGACGACGCTAAAGACGCGCATCCACGATACGTGGGGCGTCCGTGTCCATGCTGACGCTGATTGGGTGCAAGAAGCCTCTTCTTTGCAAGTTCAAACTAAAATGGTTGAATAAATTAATAAAAATTTCTGGTCTACGCAAACAAGGGCGACGCCACGTACGGGTGCCGCACAACGTCGGCCATTGTCATGCGCTGCGTCGGATCGATGATGAGCATATTCTCGAGCAAGTCGAGCGCTTGCATGGGCACGAGCCGCTGGACGCGCCACGCCTTGACCATCGCGCGAAGACCGTGCGTCTGAATGTAGGCAAAAATCCGGTCGGAAATTGCAGCCTTCTCCACCAATGGCAAGCCCGTGTGCATCATGTAGAGAAGGACGCCAAGCGCCCACACGTCGGCGGCCATCGGGTCGTAGCCGTCGTCGCTGTACATCTCGGGCGCCATGTAGTAGCGCTTCCCGACCGGGCGCGTCTCTCGCTTACAGTCGATGCTGGCAAGGCCAAAGTCGCAGATCTTGCAGTCGCCGACGTCGTCGACGAGGATGTTTTCGAGCGAAATGTCCCGGTGGGCAAGGCCGCACTCGTTGTGCAGAAATGCCACGCCATGAGCAATCTGGTCAAAGTAGCGCTGGGCGTCGTCCCAGTAGAAGAGCTCACGCGGACTGTTCTGGAGCATCTCAAAGAGGTCGCCTTGGACGCAGTACTCGAGCACGAGATGCACATAGCCGTCTTCGGTGAAGCTGTCGACGAGACCGACGATTGCATTTGCGCCCTTCTTTGCCGTCGACGTCGTCGCGCACTGGATCAACGCGTACGCCTGGAGCTCCTTCTCAATGCCGTTCTCGCTCGCCTCGTCGTCGTTCGTCTCGAGCATGCGCGTGTTCATTTGCTTGATGATGTACTGGACGTTGGAGGCTTTGGCGGTGCAGAGAAGGAGGTCCCCGTACAGGCCGTGGATCAACACTTGGTCGATCGTAAACTCGTTCATGATGGTGGTGGCGGCTGCGCGAATCGGAAAATGAGCCAACGCCGTTGTTGCCTCAAAGAAAGGGACACGGCTTACAGTGTATGAGTTGACTGTGAAAGTTTTGCTGGATGCAGCTGGATTCGCAGCGAGAAGAAAGGCAACGGTCACGAGGGGCCCTTTGATTGGATGCAACCCGAGGCCCGCGCGATTGGATTGGCCAACGACTTTGCCCTTTCAGTCTGCGACATGTTTACCGTCATTCCTAGCGCTGTCCTGTCCGTTCATGGGCGAGAACGGAATCTCTGGCCAACACGTTGGATTTGCCCAAGGCCTCTACGTACGTGTACTACGCTTAGCAGTACACGACGAGGAGAGTAGCGTCTGCGAAGCGACGACGTCGACGCCATTGTTGACGTGTCGCGGTGGATGGCCGCACGTTCTATCCTGCGATTCGGGTCGTCGCACGCACCAAGACGGGTGATGGTTCATGGACAACCTCCGCGTCACACAACCAAGGTCAATGGCGACACGATAGGTAGTGATCACGACCTCCCTTTGGCTTGGCGTCTCGCTGGTTCGGCGTCAGCAGCCGCGCGATCAAGTACTCACGAGTAGCGACTGATGCCCAACCTGGTACATCGCGGTCGAGCTCTACGGTAGAAGCTCAAAGCACGTCGCAGCGGCGGTAGCAAAACGACATGACTGCAATGCGACGTTGCGTGTCGACTGCGGCTCGTGTAAACGTGCTTGTTGATGCCAGCGTGTGGATGCAGCGAGTGTCAATGAACCACCCATGGATCGGTTGCAGCTGAAGGTCCTTCAACTCTACTTGCCTAAGAGAATTGTGTGCCAAGAGAGACGCAGCAGCTGCGCCACAGAAGCGGCGGCGGCATCCCGAAGCCAAGCAAAAGCTACTCGTTGAGATGCGAAACGCGAAAAATCAATTAAATAGTAGAGAGGCAGGTTACAGGACGACGGGCGACGTCACATACGGGTGTGCGAGCACCATGTCGAGCGTCACGCGACGGGTCGGGTCGACGGTCAAGAGCAGCTCGAGGAGCTCGAGCGCGACGGGCGGCAAGAGGTGGTCGAGTTGCCACGACCGGATCACGCCGTAGACGCCGTACTGCTTGACGTACTGGAAAATCGTATTGTCATCGCGCGCGCGCTCCAGCAGTGGCAGGCCCGTGTGCATCATAAAGAGGAGGATGCCGAGGCACCACACGTCGACCTTGGTCGGGTCGTACCCGCCGCCCGTATACATCTCGGGCGCCATGTAGTACGTCTTGCCAACGGCCGCAAATTCAAAGTCCTTGACAGGCACTTGGACCGCGAGCCCAAAATCGCAGAGCTTGCAGTCGCCGTTCTTGTCGAGGAGGACGTTCTCGAGCGAAATATCGCGGTGTGCAAACCCGTTGCTGTGGAGATACCGGAGGCCGCGCACGATCTGGCCAAAGTAGCGCTGGGCGTCAACAGGCTGGAAGCGGCCATTCGGCGATGCTTTCAGTGCATCAAAGAGCTCACCGCGCGGGCAGTACTCGAGCACCAAGTGGTCGCAGCCGTCCTCCTCGAACGCATCGAGGAGCCGCAGTACAAATTCGGCGCCGGCGGACGGCGACGCGCGGTACAATGTGTGGTACGTGAGCTTCTCCATGCCAATGCTCTCGTGGATCGTCGGCGACTTGACGACGGTCTTGGCATCGAGGCGCTTGATGACGACCTTGGCCTTGGTCGCCTTGTGCGTGCAGAGCAGAATCTGGCCGTAAATGGCCGGCGCAATGATCCGGTCGATGCTGTACGCGTTCATGCTCACGAGCAACTAGTTCTTAGACCACCGGCAAATTCGTAAGTGCAAACTGCGATCCCATGTTTCTTTGCACGCAAGGTGCCCCCATTACGCACTGCGGAGGTGTGTGTTTTCTACGCCCGCGGCAAAGAATGTTCGATGCGACCACCTGGGTTTTAAACACATTCGCTCGGTTTGTCCCGTTTGTCCCGTTTCCCCCATCTCTGGACGCGCCACTTGATTGACGACCGGGGACGCTATCCAAAAGGAATCGGTGGGGGCGTTGCAAGGCGAACAGCGCGGCGAGTGCAAGGTAGACTACATGCATGCTTATACTACGTTCTGAGACGATGCGATCAAGAATACATTGTGGAGGGGCCATGCAACACACGCTGCGAGTGTTATGCAAGCATGTTGCAAGCAGAGTCAGAGAAGGAAGACGAAGTCTCTGGTCGTTGCCGTAGGACGAAGAGAGCCGTGTGTGTGGACGAGAATGGTTGGTGACACGGCCCGCGACAGGTCCAGTCGATCGGTTGCACTTGATGGCTGCGGCGTCCGCGCCACCGCCAAGCTCCAAAGTACCGAAAGACTGCGTGTTTATAGAAAGAAAGTGTAGCAAGCGTAGACAACCACTCTGCGAGACGATATGGATATCGGGTGATGGTGTTGCAACGCTCGGAAGCACGGCAGCCGCCAGAACGACCACCACCAGTGGCATTTCGCACACCGACCAAGCTCCGGCGCTTTGCCTCTTTGACGAACGAGTTTCGTACCTGTGCTATTGAAAGAGACATGTCAATGAAGGGAGCAGTCAATGTGATCGAATACACGGTGTTTATTGATGCAACCTTTGGCGTCGATGCAGCTCAAGTGCACGTTTGTGCGTCGGGTGGACTGAGATGCTGGTCCATGATTGGGACAAACCCTATGTAAATCCCAGACGTGCGGGAAACGCGCACTGTTTAAAACACGCTTTGCCTCAGGAATATTTGGCCCACTCTGGATCTTTGGGCCGCCAAATGCCGACATGTGATTGGTGCAATTCGAAGCGCCGGTTTCTGATTGGCAAAGACGGGCAAATCGGATGCCAGCACGAGCGCTGCGCCTGACACGGCAGGCCACCGCACCAACTCGACGGCAGCGAGGTCGCATATCGTAGAGTAACATCAACGACAACTCGATCACTCTCGTAATACCTCAGTGTATTCCATCGTGTCGCTGGTAATCTCCAGCCGCGTGGTCGAGAAATATGGATAAATCAAAAAGGCGGCGGAGAATGTCAACTTGTCAGGCTTGCGAGCGTCCGCGGGCATAGCCGGGTTGTTCAACGCACGATGCAGCACAGGCCGCTCGATTCGAGCTCGTTGGCATTGAGTATGCTTCCGCGACAACTCTTTGCTGTGCGATGGCGGTCCCACCTTGGCGTATGAGACGCCGACGTCATAGACAGGGTCCACCGCAGGCATATATCGCTTTCGCCCGACGCGCGCGATCGCCTTTGCACTGGAAATCTCTGCGCACCCATTCTCGATATATCGTACAACGAGCGAAGATGCCCAACTGCTCGCGATGCGGTGTGTCACCGTGGGCGCGCCGTTGGTGCCCTTCACCGTCGTCATGACGCTACCAATGCGGCGGATGCAAGGAAATGGGTGTCGCTCGTTCGAGATGGCGCTTGTTGCCGCCGTGTAATATGCTGCAACGTTTTGATCTAGTTTGCAAGCGATGCCCCGGGTCCAGAATGTGTGCGCGCCTCCTCGCTTGCCACGTCATTCGGTATAAAGACATGCGGCGGTGGTGGCGTGTCTTTGACCAACGTGGGACTCACACCGCAGTCGTACCCTCTGGCGATTGCCACTTGCTGCGCTTGGTCGCCATACTAGACACTGTACTCTATACGATACTGCATTTGTAGTATCCAGAGAAATTGCGTCAGATAAGGAAGTGCACCTGGAACGCGGGCGCATCGTCGTCAGCGCAAACGACTGCCTTTCAAGCTGACACAAGCGCACGCACGACCGACCTCGCTCGAACGACCTTCGACGAACGAACTCGCGACTCCGCGATCGCAATCCAGCGACGCACGCTAGGAAGTGGACCGGTATATCGTGGCGTCAGCACCGGCATGGTCAACTTACGGCGCCAGGACGAATGGCGCCGCGACCACGTCGTTTCAGTTTTCCATGCATTCCCAACGACCAAGCCACTGCACGCGTGGCAAAGGTGCCCACTTCCTCAGCCTGCATAAAACAAGATCGCAACTGAAATCTATTCATCTAGTGAGTTGTTTTCAGGATATGTGCCATTCTAGGAACATACTCTGAGCGTACGAGTAGGTCGCTTGACAAAGTTACATAGTATAGCGTTTCGAGTCTCGAGTAGCAAACGTTCGAGCCAAAGCGCTCATGCATCCAGTAGTTTGCGAGGTGCGTGCACGGCCTGTGGCGAAATGACGCGCGTCTTTTACGCAAAGGACTGGGCGACGCGGTAAGCGATGCAGTAGCTCGCTTCATCGAAAGACCGAGTTTCATGCCTG